GCACAAATTTCAGTGAAATTTTATGGGTGCGGCCCGCAGGCATCTGCAGGGTAAGGAATGCGGCCCACCGACCGATTTGAGTATGACACCCCTGTTCTACAGCATCTGCGTCCGTCCATCGATACACGGTGCTTCGCGGCTAAGTCGACTCGCCCTATACCGCCCAAGGCCGACGTACGAATTCGATCGCTGGCGCATTGCTCATCACCAATAATTCTATGATGGCGAGCTGGTTCTTTATTTGTCCGTGTTGGGGCTACAAGTGCTTTCCGTTTCTTCGGCCTGCTGACACGATTCACGTTGCTCTCATTTGCGAATGGCTGTATTGGATACCGGGACAACATGTAGGATGAGGTGGGGTAAAGTATTAATTGGGGTAATTGTAACACTGCTTCCTCTTTCAGCAAATACATGAGAGGAGTTTTCTCATTTTGTGTATATGGGGTATGAATAGTCCCTTTTTCTATGGAGAAATGGCCATCATGTGGAAGATGCTGCATTTAGAATCTTTTACCCCTTCTCTTTATACCATAAAAAACTCGCCACGAATTGGATTGAAGATCCCACCTCCATTCAATACACATTTACAAACCTTTCGTCCTAGACACATCAATACCCAGCAAAAAATTTGAAACACATAACGTAGAGTCAATATTGTATAAACGTTCGGAACGTTGACAGAATGTTGGTCCAACGTAGCCTTGTTTGCTGGGTAGATATTCTTGGTACTTTCTACTGTAATGGAGATTTGTCGAGATTAAGTGCTGGTGTGGCATCCCTACTTGTTTGGTAGGGGACTCAAATATCTCAATGCACTGCAAGAAATTCAGCAACAGCAGGGGATGACAAATCACTCAACACTCGGCGCTGTGTGATGTCTAAATTTCTCCTCCCGGAAATATCAGAATCTGACTTTTAAAAAATGAAATTTCAATTTGATCAGAATCAATATTTCCTTGAAATGACAAATTCAGCATTTTGAAAAATTAATAAACAGGCATTTAAATCCTAATCGCTAATCAAGATAGTCTTCGGAAAAGTGAATCCAACTCAGTCTCATTTCGAACTGAACGGAATCTTTCGAATTTCAAACATAAGTTTTTTTCTATATTTGAAATCTTCTGCAGTAACCATGAAGGTAAGTGCTGCGAATGTTGGCACTGGGAGTAATCTCGGCACTTTGCGATCGTCAACCTTCTGCTTCCACTACCTGTCCCCTAGGTGCAGGTAGACACATATTCTGATGTTGGGATTAATGTGCTTGGAACAGTCCTATTTACTGTTATAGTTTTCTCGCAGTGGCTGCCTTCTCTAAGCTCACTCCGAAAATCCTGCGAAATCTTTTGATTTTGCCTTGCTTTTGCACATTCCTTTCTTTACCATACTAGGTATTGTTTTATTTGATCGTTGCATTCATTTTTTGAGAAAGTTTTAAACGACAGTGATACTTAGGTATGCTGAGATTCTCGACAGGATGGTGCCGACCATGCCAGCAAGTCTGCTGAGATTCCCAATATCCGACCTAACGTCACCTTTGACCCAGGCCCTCGGAAAGGAAAGGCCCGGGACACTCGAGGTATACGGTACAAGGAGGGTTATAATGGAAGTATGAGCCAAACCAACGTGAACGAGGAAGTTCCATTACAGAAACCACCAGACAAGGTGGAAGTGTAAAATTTTCTTAGAATGCCGACATTCGTAGCATTCACCTACGTTCTTGAATTCTGTGCTTCTGAAAGGACAGTATATTGAACAGGTACAATGGTGGGAAGAGGATGGTACACATGCAGTACTCCAATAGTTCAGATGTAATATTCGCTTCGCGATGTTCAATACAAGTTTACTCCAGCACCCAAAGGGAAAAGTAATGAGCCAAAAAAAGTGAATATTTGTACACCCGTGTGGGCTTAGCGGCGGACCTCACCGAGGAGTGGAGGAGGAGCCACCCCCTACCGGACACCTCCCACCTCCAAGAGACCTCCCCCGGACCGGGACAAGGGGGTGGAGGCGAGACTAGAGAGTGGACAGTGAGTGTGGATGCGATCGTGTGACATTGTACAACGGTGTGTATTGTATGTCTGGATTGTATAGGGACCTGTAAATTATTCCCGTCGCCCTTGACGTATCAACTTCCCTCCTGCCTGGTGCCTGTAGACTATACGAGTGAGTGGTATACATTCAATATATCCATTGTTATTGTTGCTGACCAGCCTAGTCCTTCCGAATATCACCGGTACTTATCTAATTGGAGTCAGTACATATATAATAGGGCCCTTTTACGTACACGGAGAACACGTAATCCCATTCGGCGGCCTCGCCCACACCCGCATCAGAATCTCGCGCCAAATCAAACTGTGAGTCTGATTGTGCCTTCTCTGCTTTATTGTGAAGATGAATGAGTCTGATTGTGCCTTCTCTGCTTTACTGTGAAGATGTTTCATCTTAAGAAAGTAGGAAGTAGCCATAATGAAGCTTGATTTCTTCCTCATGGAAATGAATGAAGAAGAGTGAAGTTGAACACCCTATACATAACAATCTTACTTCATACTTAGGTTAGGTATAACATTTAACGCTTCTCTACGTTTGGCTTAAAATGTGTTTACCTCAATTAGATGTACACAAGTAAAAAAAAAAATGAGAAAAATCCAAGTTCGCACTCTTCCGTTGAGATTCTGTTCATCTCAAATACTGATATTAGGAGCTGGAACAAGTTTACATCTGATGATTGATTTGTAAATTAAACTTTAGTAATCAGAATGAGACTCAGGTCCTACCACATCATCAGTGCACTGTCACTATTGCCCGTGGTCAAGGAGTGATAGTAACTTCCTGCCTTGAGGTAAAAAATTACCTTGCACATGGAATATTTTCAATGCTATTTATAATTTAACTTTTTAAACTAGAAATCTCTCCATGGGTAAAATTTATTGAAAAATAGTATGCACTTAACTATGTTGTGTGTGTATGGGTCAAGTTCACAATGAGAGGCATGAGCAGGAAATTCCCAGAAAGCACCAAAGTAGATGTCGTGAAAAAGACCCGAGTTTCTTTCACACTTTCATCATTCAGAGACATGATCTTTATCAAGCCTTAATCTAAGTGTGCAGTTATCTTGATTTTTGTATAGTTATCCCAAGTCTCAATCTTAGGTCACACAAAGATCTCTGTGTAAGCAGCTATCAGCAAGTCCAAGTTGCCAATCTGTCATTTTCTCTGGATGGCTCCAATTTTTTGGGGTTTAACCTTGGCAAGCAGGATTGCTGGGTCCTGAAATAATTTTTGCAAAAGGAAGTAAAAGAAAAGTAAGAGAAGGTAAGTGAGTTGGATGAGGTAGAGCTTCCTCTCCATCTTACTCCCCTTTTCCCAAACCATTCCTAAGGGCTTGAAAGTTAGCTAAAAGTGACTCTGGCTGCTTCAGCTTCATTAGTTCTTGTCTCCATATCTGCTCATTTTCCATTCGAAATATTAGCCATCAATATGTTGCACTGTGATTGCTCACATGCCTGAATATTTCCTTTGACTTCACTCATTTAGATTTATCACAGACTGGTTTCTCTTGAATTTCGCACCCTCTCTTGTAAGCTCCTAAGGAGAAATATTGCCACCTCATGAATTTTAAAGACAGGGGAACAAAGCAGGAAGAACATGTAAATACATAAAAATCTGACCCCTACTCAAAGCAATGATGAATGATATTCCTTTTCCCATTATTCTCTTCTACTGTGGATTTTGCAGAGAGGGATTCTACATTTTGAGAGTTTATGTAGAATCGTGTGAGCCAAGAACATGCCCCAGCTTTTCTTTACCATGAATTGTGTTCCACATAGGAACTTTGCACAGGCTTATGTGGGCAAGCTTTCCAGGGAAACCGATTGGTAGGAGATATAATTGGCTGTGCATGGTAAAGGCTAAAGCAGAGTACTCAGGTGGTAATGCTGACAGATATGTTGAGGCATTGTTGAGACATTAAAAATAATCCTTTATGATAAAAATCAAAGTGTCTCACAGCTCCTTCCAAAACACAACTTCCCAAGCACTTGGTTCTCATCACACTCACACAGACAACTCTTACTTGGTACACTTCCTTGACTTCCCACAATCTCCTAGGGCAGGGGTCTTAAACTCATTTTGTCGTGTGGGTTGCATTGTCAAGATCAAACCCCTCTGTGGGTCAAAGTGTAAATTCGTAGAATGAAAATCTGCCACAACCTTACATTGTGTAGTTTGGATCTAAAACGTTTCTCTCTCTAGGTGTATGCAGGCTGCATTGAGAGCGTTTGCAAGCTGCATGCTGCCCACAGGCCATGAGTTTGAGACTCCTGTACTAGGCTATCAAGTTTAATCAATGCGAGGATCTCCTTCTTGCTCTTTTGCACTTTGGCTTTCATACACACTATTCACCCCAACACCCAGCAAAAACTAGAAAACCAAGTTCAAAACACAAGTTCTGATGGAATTGTCTTGCTCTAGGGGTGTGCTGAAATACAGTTATTTTGCATTAGGTTCTGGCAGAGCCAAAAAAGTGTTCCTGTGAAGTGACACCAATCCAACCATATGAAATATAGCTGGAGTTACCACAAAGGTGTGTTCTTGGGAGTACCTGTGACTGAAAATTGCTAAAGTGCTTGCCAATGAAAAGTTCATGGGCTTCTCTAAAGCAAGAACTGCCGGGTTGATTAGTTGAAATGAAATGTTGCTGGACTCAACTCACCTGGGAGATTTGCAATTAGGGGTCTCCAGTACTGAGCCAATCAATTAGGGGTCTCATGGTATTGGTAGTACTTGCAGCTCAAGGATATGCCGTTTAGGGCACCTATGAACAAGAAAGCTCTTCTGACAGGAAAATAATGCTAATGTCATGACCTGCAATACCATGAATGGCCAACATAACTTAAATTATGAGCAAGATATGCATGGATTTCTCTATCAATACAATGAATTTATTTAAACTTCTCTCATTCCATACAAACTCATGTTTCCCAGATTGAAGAACAGAGGAACAGGGTGTCACAACAAGAATTATGTGAAATCAAAGAAATCCTGATCCAATGTCCTTACAATGTGAAATCTCAGCATGCAGGAACTGTAAAATATAATTGCAGGACCACATGGATGAACACAATGCACTCATTTTCTGTTGAGGACAGGAAGTGAACTGAGGGGGAATGACAGTGCTGCAAGTGTATCACATGAAGGACCTGGGCAGATCACTCCCATTTCATCAAAACTTTCCATAAACACAGACCTTGCATACAGGGTCAATCATTTCCATTGCTCTCCAGCAGTTCCCTCTGGCTTCATGATCATGTAGGTCATCAAATACTCTGGGTAGGCCTGCAAATCATAGAGATGAGAAGGTGAATGACTTGACTCTTTTGTGTATGTTGAGCAATGCAAGTTACAACAGGAACAGACCTGTTCACCACGATAGACTACATATTCAGGGAAGCTGAGACCACCAGCACTAGGCCTTCCTATCACAGAGTGGTGTCCTGGTGGGGCATGTGCCATCTTCATGGCACTGAACTGAAGGAACGACTTTCCCAGTGTCACACGGCACAGGAGCATCTGTCTGCATTCCCAAGGAAGAAAACACTCAAATGTAGCTGGAAATATACCTTTAGCCTGGTAAAAGCCAAAAGACTCAAGCAAACCTTTGGCAGACATAACAGGATCGATCCTTGTGTGATGGACAACCTGTCCCTCCTCCAATTCCATACACATACTGATTGCTCTTAGATGAGTTCTCAGCAAAGTAGATCCCTACAAGAAAGATAGTGAGAGAGCAGGTCTCAGCCGAGGCACAAATGGAAAACAGTAAGTACAGCACAAAGGAAAAAAATTTTGAACCCACCAGCTCCAAACATGCCACCAATATATGCATGACGCTCATCAAAACCTTTTTGGACAATTGCATTGATAAATGGGGAACCATGAAAGAGCATGCGTTCATTTGCATGCCCATTGTTTTCTTCAGCTACTTCTTTCCGTCTATGGGTGTATCGATCCCACAATCGGCGATTGCGAATCTTGGCAATCTGAATTGTTCAGAAGTAAAAAGCAGCTATGAACATACAATCAATTTTGATAAGAGTAGATTAGATTGGGATGGACGTGTACCTTAACAATGTGGTATTGTGTGAAGATACCCCCAGCTTGACCAGTGTCCTTGTGCTCTCTGATTGTTGTCTGCATCTCCTCTTCAACTGCTCTGAATTCTCTATCATCTGGGCAGAGGTCAACCAGTAGAGTCCCCTGCTGGTTCCCACCAAACCATGATGATGCAGTGAATCCTTTGGAAAAAAAAAAGAGAAAAGAATAAAAATTACTTGCACTCCATTCAAACCAAGGATGTGTAGGATGTAGCAAGGATGTGTAGTCAAGGATTAGTACTGCCAGTTGTCACCTGGCAACTGATGAAGTTCACCTGATATACAATGCATTGGGGTTTGAAAAGGTGGAATTCAATTCTAGCCATGAGGAGACCAATAAATTAAAAAAACCATACAATAAAGGTTAAGCTACTTGAGGATTGGATTCTGTGGCCATTCAAACTCATCTAAATGAACAGTGAAGGCAGCAACTGCAAGACAATAGCTTCTCAAAAATTACTGATAATGGCTGATCCTATAAAATATAAAGTAATTGCATAGGTGCAAAGTTTTCAAAGTTGCAAAATTTCCAAGTTTTGTTCCATTTACCACAAATGTACATAACAAATTTTCTTTGAACCCTGCACCTCCCTATTCTGCTTGGTAAAAAGAGTCTTGCAATGCATTCTATCATGCTAAATGGCAAAGGCAAAAGCCAACACTAACTAATACAATAGTCAATTGGAAAGAACTACCCTTCTTTTTAATGACAGATTCAAAGGCTTGTATATCAGAAAGAGGATACTAGAGGATTTCTTCAGGATCAGCTAATAGCTGAATAAAATTTCTTATCTAGAAGTTCACCTGATGCAGAGAGGACCTTCTCCACTTCCTTGATGAGTCTATGGCGATGTCCATATGCTGTCACGCCAATCTGCTTCAAATCTTCATGATTCATTTCAGCCAGTATGTCCAAAGTTATCTTCTCTCGATCAAAAATTTCCAAAAGAAACTCCAAACCTAGGCTGGAAGAGATATAAACATAAGCACATATGATACATTCATCAGGAAGGCATCAAATATGAAACAACTTCAGAAGTAGCGTAACACCAAACAGAATACAAACCAGTGAGTCGGAAATACCAATAGGAACCATCATGTTGGGGTGGAATCACAGAAGGACAAACTCTAAACATTTTCTGCTAATAAAAAAAAAGTTAAGAGTTAAAAGCTCTCCTACAAATCTAACACTCCCTTAACAAATGTGGCATGCATTGTCATAATGTTAGTTGATGCTATTTACTCGTAACTAGTTTTTAGTTGAACATTAAATATGAATATGGTACATTTTTATCAACATATATATTTAAAAATAAGTAAAGAAACTTACGTTAAGAGAGTCTAAGGGAATATGAATGTGGAATGAGATTTCTTCTTCATTTATTTACACAGATGAAGAAGAAATAGAAGTAAAACAAGCTCACTAAGTCCAGTTCACCTTCTTTCACTATAGAGGAGTTTAGTTTAGCTCTTAGCTGAACAATATGATATTGCTTTCGGAATCTCTACTTCATTTTTCAATCAGCTTTTCATTTAAGAATTCACAAAACTTGAAAGTGATGCTATTGCAGTGATGGTGGTAGTGCAGTGCCTACAGAGGAAGACACAGGAGATAACTATCCAATTGTCTAGAAATTACGCAATACTTCCTGAGTGATAAAATCTACAATCATATGTGCATGAAGATAAACAGGAAAAAGTCTAGAGTTCTACATACATTTCTAGCTGGTGGCTGACTTTTGCTTCCACACACCTGCTCTGATACTAACTAGACCTATAGACATCCCTTTCAACAGCTCACATGTAATAAAATTAGGGCTGTACTGATGTATCAGCTACCACCAGTATCAGCAGCCGGTGATGCACTATTGGCACCACTGGCCATGGGCCAGTTTACAAGCTGCCCACACTGAGGCAAAATTTACTGGTAAAACTTGCAAAAAAAAAAGCTAGAGTGAACATGTGAATCTGAAAATATTAATTGGATTATACAGTATTTTGGCCCTATTCTAGAAACTGGTGGCAGAAAAGAGCAGTAAAGAATTGGGAAATGGGAAATCATAGTCCCTCCTTTTATGTTATGCATTTGTTATAGATGTGTCAATGAACATTCTTAGCAGCAGCAATAGGTAACAAGCTAACCACTGACAGACACAGACAGACAGTACTAAATATGGCCTCTACCATTCTTAGGGGGTCCTGAGAATTATCACATGGCTTCTAAATAGACCTGTTCAAATTATGAGGTAGTATGCATTTTCATGTTACTTCTCAATTTTCAGACAACAATCAGCACCGGCACAAGCCGATGTTTATGGAATGACAATTGGCCCACCGGTAAAAGGTGGCCATCGGTACAGCCCTAATTAAAATATATTGAGGTTACAGAGAAAAACATATCTGTGCTGGTCTGGTACAATCTGATATGTAGTCAGTCCCAAACACAATCCATGATTTGACAACATCTTGGGGAAAACTTGTGCTAACCTGGAGAGGAAGGAAGACGTGCTGATGTCAAAGCCAATTTCAGTGACTTGCATCTCTGTCTCAGAGAAGTCCACACATCCATCTCCAGGATGAGGCGTTCCAGAAGGTAAAAGAGCTGGAAGAGCTGGAGTGACTGGGGCAGACAGACTGGTACTGTCATCATCTTCCAGGCCTGATGATGCATGAAAGTCTGTTGATGTTGCACCTCGGATGTCAGAGGTACCAGAAGGAGACATTGCATCACTCAGCAGACACTTTACATCTTCAGCTGATGCTAAAGCCAATGGGGTCTGTCCTTCCTGATTCTTTGAATGGGGATCTGCACCATGAGCCAACTGCAATGATTACAGATACCAGTATAGTGTGTCACTGAATTCTGCAAACATTTTTCCACAAAGGGTCAGCCAGAGTATAATTCCTCACCAATAGTGCACAGAGTTGTGTTCTGCCTTTTTGAGCTGCTTCATGCAAGGGAGTGAAACCCCAGCGATCAGTAGCATTCACTAAAGTATTGTAGCGAATGAGGAGAGCGGCCACATCAAGGTGGCCATATGATGATGCATTATGCAAAGGTATCAGGCCACCCTTGTCCTGAGCATTCACATCAGCCCCACTTTCCAGGAGGAACTGAGCAATCTCCAAGTTGTTATAGCCAGCTTAAGAAAATAATAATATATATAAAACAATCAATCAACAGAATATCTTCTATCTCCCCATAATCAATTTCACCAAATGCTTTACCAACTCTCAAGATTCTTGGTGACATTAGCCTGGAAACTCACCAGCAAGATGCAAAGGCGTGGAATTTCGTCCATGAGTGTCCCTGCAGTTGATGTTATCTGGAGTCAAAAGCCTCTGAACTCGTAGAAGATTTCCCTTCTTGGCAGCATCTAAGAGAGCAGTATCTCCTCGTAACAGATCAGCAACTTCTTCATCTGAATCTTTCACCAGATCCAGAGGGGTGTGACCATCACGATTCTTCTTTCCTGGATCTGCCCCATGCTATGAAGGACAACCAAACCAACGAAATGTCACAACCCTTCTCTTATTTGATGATATCAATAAGAATCAGAAATATACCTTGAGAAGCAATTTCACTATGTCATACTTCCCCTTGGCAGCTGCTTCATGCAGAGGTGTGAACTTCCACAAGTCAGCTACATTCACTGAGGCTCCATGATGGACAAGCAATTCACACACTTCATAGTGGCCGTAACTGCAGGCATTGTGCAAGGCAACAAGACCTCCACGGTCCTTTGCAGAGACATCTGCCCCATGTTGAAGGAGATACTCAACCACAGCAACTCGGTTATATCCAGCAGCAAAGTGAAGAGGAGTTGAATGCCTACAAGACAAGAATATGAATGTTTCCATATAGCACAACCCATGAATGCAAATATGTTGACACACAGGTGCACTTTACAACTGCAGCTCAAAGGGAATCTTCATAAAGTAATCCCTACTGTCTATCCCTTGGAAATAAGGGAGAGTAGTAGGCAATGAGATGAAAAAACATAAAATAAGAACTCATCTCTTAAGAAACTCTTATAAGTATAATATATATTTTCTACCTCAAATTAATGTACCATTAATTAATGCTCTATTCAATAATAAATTCTACTGTTCAGTTTCATGTTTGGCATACAAGCCTTAACTCTTAAAAAAAAAACCTGTTATACCATCATTACCAAACCATTGTGTACCAGGATTATACACAATGAGGATGGGTAAAAAGTGACAAGAAAAAGTATTAGTATTTTCAGAGAAAATCATCAATCACCTGAATTAAAAACCAATTCCAATTCCAAAACAGTGATATCCAGCCAGATGTTTTCTTCACAAACTGGTGGGAGGAAGGAGTCCACAAATCCTGATTTAAGAAGTGTGAGGGAAGCACCCTTAAGTGGTTCATCTCATAAAAAAATACTTCCTATAGGTCCTAGAGTCATAACTTTCTTCATTCAAAAGCTCCACAAAATCACCTTTCCTTCATGATTTTTGTTGCCCCACTTTTTTCAGTCTCTCATTGTACAATGAGATTATTATGTATCACAAAGACTAAAAATATTAAAAGACAAGGCTAGCACAGCCATGTCAGAGAAAAGATTGAATAAAAAAAATATTAGTTAAAGCAAAATTGTAATGTATTCAGATACATACTGGGTAATTTAGATTTAGCTGATGGGCTATAGATCTACTTGTACAGGATTGCATTTTTTTTACTTTTGAACCATGAAAATAAAATTAAAAATTTTATATTTAGCAAATTCATCATATGGCAAGTAGAATGCATTCACTACTGCTGAACAGCAGCATATGTGTCACACACATGTGGGGGGTTAAACAGCTGGCAAAAATTAGTTTCTGTACCAGAAGCAGAGGTGTAATCCATTTTTGTTACAGGAGATTCTTTCACATGAAAAGGGATGCTTAACCCCATTACAATTAGGTTAAAGTACACTCTGGACCGCCAGGATTGTTTTTTTTTTTTCCCTGTAATTTCAAATATTTGTTCCTACAATAGAAAACTAATTATTTTCAGTCAAGTGGTCATTAAACCATTGAATATTGATTCTGATACAAACTGAGATATTTTACAGGAATGTATGATGCAGATGAGAACTAAGTGATCACAAAACTATACCCAGGCATGACAATTGAGGGGGTTAACAAGTAATCAGTCACTGTGGCTCATTTACAGTTTTCTTGAAACATATTGAAGTATACGGATATAGCAATGATTAAAAAATGTGTGTGGCCATGGCCATATGGCTAAATATTTGGATGCAGATGGCAGCAAACTGACAAAGATTTATAAGGGTAGCAAACACAAGTGTATTTCTTGAATCCCCAGTATGTTATCATCTTGAGGATTGCAATTTCTGGGCAATTGTACAAGTCAAGAACTTGCTGGTTGGGTCTAGTCATGCATGACTTGTCTGCACTTAGTCTGTCTGTGGACCAGAGTATAGTCCATTCACTTTGAGAAGAGCTAGTTTCTTATCTCTCAAAGGCCGATTATCTTGATTAATGAGTAACTGAGGGGAAAGAGGGCAAGCAATTAGCATCTTCTCAACCTGCCCTGTTAGGTGACAGTTCAGGGATGCCTAATAGGGATATTCTCTGCTGTCTCCACTTTGACCTGTGCCATGGAAGAGATAGGATGTGAAATGTGGAGGCCATGGAATTTTTATACATTACCATTTTTTAAGTTACTTTGTCAGGCTCAGGAACATTAGCACAACATGTACCAGTGAAATTGAATTTTCCTGCATGAAGCATTCTCTTTTCATTTCTGGCAATTCTGATTTTTCTCTTAGGTTTGACACGAGTCCTCAACCAGCGATTTATGATCCCTATTCTGGTATGGAAAGAAAACTTTTCAGAAATCTCCTAATTAGTTTACAACTTAATGAGCCTGAGGGATTGCCACTCTCAACCTGGTTTGGCAACTAGTTCTTCTCAAAGTGAACGGACTATATAGACCCAGCACAGGACCAATGCACCTGGAGGTTGCAGGTGATTTTGGCCCCATGTCCCTTCAAAAGTGAACCTAAACAAGGAGAATGTATGTATGCATGCACATATGCTTGTCCAAGTCATTGCCTTGTGCCAAGACAGCTGGATATATGGGGTAATATGTTGACAGGAAGACAAGTTTGAATGAAAAGTAGGAGGTGACTTTTTGAATTCCTCTGATGATGAAGTAATTTTGAGGACTGCATTTCTGTTTGCATGTGTGCATTGCCTAGTGTCAAAACACTGGGTTGTACTGATTGTTGTGTATAGATCCCAAACAAACAAGGTGATTTAGCTTTTTATATACAGGGTGAGCCATTTAAGTGGAACCATACGGAATAACCAATATTTTCTTCTTTTTTTTAACCAAAAAGAATAGCCACCAAGGTCCCCAGATATTTCACCACTGGACTTTTATTTATGGGGACATTTAAAAAGTATTGTGTACTCCATAAAGATGCATGACCTCCACCATCTTGAAAACAGAATTACTGATGCTTATTCTCAAAATACAGCAGATACCTTAAATGGAGTTCAGCATCAATGGATAGCCAATTACAAAAGTGCATCGATAATAATGATGAACATTTCAAACATATAATATAAATGAACGTAAGTAGACTTTCCAGTTTTTATTACTCCCTATGGTTCCATTTAAATGGCCCACCCTACAATGGCCCTGGCAACTTTCTGGTCACATATTCCACAAGTTTAACAATTGAAATAACATCTGCCAAAATGCAGCATTGTTTAATTGATTCCTTCTTAGCCTACACTCTGTGAAGATTTATTTCCACCTGCATGATTGCTGATTGGATACATCTCCAGTGTTTAAAGTGTAACAGTAATTCAGAGACATACTATGACATTATGAGAGGTCTTCTGTGCTCCAACCTCACCTTCCTTCAAGATCCCGACAGTTGACAATGTTGGGATAAGAGGTGAGAAGTCTCTTGACCAACTCCAAGTCACCCTGCTTGGCAGCCTCCAGGAGTTGAGAAGCAACATCAACATTACCCCTGCCTCCTACTGGATGCTCCTCTAAGAGCAAGTTCTGAACTGTTTCATTGGCCACTTGAAGAGCAGTGAAGCCTTGAAGTGACACAATCTGGGGGTCCACACCATAGTTGAGAAGAGTACGGCATGCCTGTATATTTCCATCCCTGGCACTACGGTGCAAGGCTGCAATATCAAATTCATATTGTGGCTCATGCCTTCTGACAAGCTGATGAGCAAGGACAAAAATGATAATTTAGATAAGGAGTAACCCCCCCTCCTCTTTGACTCTAACTACATTTCATGACTATCCATGATATATGACTTTCCAACAGTCATCAATTACACTTGCCACTCCATATTCCACCTCCTGATGACTGCTCTATGACAGGTTTCCTTGCATAAGACATATGCCTAAATATAGTATAAATATGCTAAAATTATCCAGTCATAATATGAGCTGAAGTATGACTGCTCTCCTAATACAAGATGATAAAACATACCTGTTTGCCCCAAACCATCCAGAGCATTCACTTTAGCTCCATGTTTAAGGAGAGCTTCCATGGCATCGAACTGCCCTCTTTCAGTTGCAACATGGAGTGGTGTGAGAAATGCCTTGTTCTTCTCATTCAGATTCGCCCCTTTCCGTACAAGGATCTCCACAACTGTCTTTCGCTTTAAGGAGCCTGAACTGACAGCACAGTGCTGAAACAGAAATGCTCATAATGACTTTCCAATACATTCTTGTTTCATAGCAGTATGATCATGGTTCTCATTATTTGAGTTTCATACAAGTTACAAAACATAAGGTCATCACCCTTCTGTACCTTAACAAAGATTTATGTTAATGTCATATTGATTCTTCAACTCCTTTTTCATTAAAAACAGAAAAAAAGAGACATGAAAAAGATCAAAGAGCAAAACTATAGATCCATTTGTTAAGGGAAGTAACAATAAAAAAGAATACATCTAGAACAAAAGAATTGGATGTATCTGCAGTTGAAGGAATAGGTGTTGACTTGTTATATTCATTACAATTGAGATGGTGGTAGCAAAACCTTACATGGGATAATGAGATGAAAATATGAGAGTCATCAGGAACTGCCATTATCACAGGGAGAGAGAGGGAAGAGAGAACAAGTCTCAAAAGAGAGAATTGAGGAAGACTGGTTGACATGATGCCAAGCCAAGAGACTTCCATTGTTGGGTGAGTGCCAATCAACAAAAGTCCCTACCCGCTTTCTCATGTGGGATGGCTTTGCTAGTGACTCCTCTGACACAGACATGTCACCTAAAAATACCAACTTTGAAAGGTCATTGTAACTTGTCTCTTTGATGTTGGAAGTGTCACACCATGCAATACAGAATAAATTAATATAAACTAATACAGATGACGACTTCATATATATTTCTTAAGCAAGTTTGAGTCAGTTGACAACATGAGCAACAACTATGACTGGGCGTGGGTATCATAAATCTAGGCCAATATGGTAATTCTCATTTCTTCCTCGAAAAGTAGCACCTTTCATAGATCCATCCCATTGTACAAAAAATATGAGATTCCCATCATCCAACCAATGTCATCGCAAACTATCATCAGTTGTGACAAGCCTGAAAGAATACTAAATTTATAAAAATAGGATAGATGAGTTCCACAACTCACCAAAGGAGTGTCACCAGTGTAAGGATGCTTGAAATTCACTGAGTCCACAGACAAGGACTTCTTCACCTTTGCTGGATCACCTTGTCTACATGCTTCAAGTAAGCAGTGACCCTGATACTCATCTATATGTGGGAACAAGGAAAAAAAAATTCAATACCATGAAATACTGCACTCACACACTAAAGATTAACCTTTTCATGTTAAGTTAACCCTTTCATGGGCAATGTGAAGTATTCTTCCCAGGAAACATTTGACCCTCCCTATGCTCTGGGAAGACTGCACACGAGAAAAAATTTGCCCATGAAAGGATAAACAGACAAGCTGTACAGAGCCCAGCTGAATTCTGAGTATATCATGTTGAGATCAAAGAATGTTAGCCCATATGAAAGCTTGCAAATGGAATTAAATGTAATGCCCCCATTGAAAGACACTAAGCACAGCAGTGAGGTGAAAATATGTCAAGGAGAAATGTCAGCCATTCTGGTCTCTGAAGAATGGGTAAGCAGTGTAGGCTGAATGAGCAAGATCCCTAGCAATGAAGATGACAGCTGAAATTATACCTAGCTTAGGGCTACCTTTCTACAGTAGTGCTGATACCTATAAGCAGAAAACTATACATATATATATATATTGATGGCAAAGATGCAAGTCTCTATCTCCAAATTTGTAGGATTTGCGATTCTGGCACCATTAAAATGCACAGTGGTGGCAGGATCTGCTGCTAAAACAAATCAAAAGTGAATGTACCTCATTATTTAATTACCTTTTCTCATGATACCTGCTGAGTTCTGAAATTAATGTCAAAACTTTCGCATTTTGGTGAAGTTTTTTGTTCTTCCTCTAAAGTCATACATTTGGAGATGCGTGTATCAGCACCTTCACCATCGATACATGCCCAGCAGGAAAACTTACAAGCCAACTTCTCCTGAAGCTCTCTGGTTGGAGCAAGATCAATGGGAGATTTCGAATGGCAGTTGAGCAGGTTGGGATCTGCTCCATGTGCAATAAGAAGTGAGCACACCTCTATGCGCATCTTGGAAGCAGCTTCATGGAGGGGTGTGAACTGCCACAAGTCCATGGCATTCACATTAGCACCATGCTTCATCAGCAACTCTGTCACTTCAAAGTGACCATAGGAGCAGGCATTGTGGAGGGGCACCAATCCCCTGTAATAAGAGAACCATAGCATATAATCTTGCATCAATACAGGAGCACAAGTGCCCAGTAAACTCTGTCCACAAATCATGAAAAAATCTGAAAAAATAGGATTAGTATAAAATATGTTTTGACAGCCAGCTCTGTGACTCTGTGACATGTTTTCATTGTACCATCACCCAGTAGTGGGTGCAGTCTCATCTCAAAGAGCTAAATGCAACACAGCTTGTGGCACATACCTAACTCCATTGGCAGGCAGCTAGACATTCTCATTATTGCATTTAAATACAAATACCCTGCAAATTGAATTCATCTAATACAGAAAAAAAAATACAGGCCTTTGTCCATGTGATCTTTGAAATGAGCATTGATGAAATAAGCCCAAGTAAACTATAACCCAGAATGAGATTGCAACAAAAAGTACTTCAAAATTCATACTATAGCCCTTATTGGGCAAAGACCTTCAACAATTCATGTGGCCTAACACATATACCTATTTAAAAAATTGTTGCATCTGCACCTAGTACATAAATCCACAATCATGAATGAACAAAACCACAGAGATGTTTCCTTTGAAAATAGATGTCACCTTCAGGGACATCATATTAAATCTGACATAAACTTGAAATGAGAAGAGGGGTAAAGAAATGAAAGAACATTAGAGTATTTAATCCTATCCTCCTCAATGGTTGTAAGGAATAAAGACCTAGATCAAATTGTACAGCTCAGGCCAACCATTTTACAACTGACATTGTCAAGGTAGTCAAGTTGGAGAGCAAAGTAGCAAAGTCAGGAGTTCCATACCCTTTATCTTTAGCATGAACATCTGCACCATTGTCCAACAGGATCTGCACAATGCCAGTTCGATTATAACCAGCTGCTAGGTGTAGGGGTGTTGATCGCCGTCCATCAGATGCATGACAGTTCACATTAAGTGGGGTCAACAATGCAAGAAGTTTCTCTTCATGACCAGCTCTTGCAGCTTCTAGCACTTCATCCTTCCTGTATTCACCAGTCAGGACAGTTCTAGCAGAACTATCAGAAACCTCTCCAGGGGTCTTTCCATCCGTATTACGAATGTGATGGTCTGCTCCATGCTGAAGAAGAACTGCAAAACAGAGAAAATTATTGATGAACTTATATAGCTAGAACGGGTAAACTGGCAATGAGTCTGATTGCTGAGGGCCATACCAATGCACACGTCTAATTTTCCCTTGATAGCAGCTTCATGTAGAGGTGTGTAATTCCAGTTATCTCTTGCATTTGGATCAGCCCCAGCTTGCAGTAAAAGACGGACAACCTCAGCATGTCCAAAGGAGCAGGCATTGTGCAATGGGATCAAACCACCATCATCTCTCGCATGGACATTGGCTCCACAATGCAAGAGGTGTTCCACAACATCTCTCCTCCCAAAGCCTACATGAATCACAGGTTTCAATAGTCATAACAGAAATTAGAACAACAGTGAGTTCCTGCTCCAAGCTCCAAAGAGCCATGTCCTATTCATATATGTAGCATATGAGCACATGGATGAAGCCTAAGCCTACCAGCAGCAAAATGCAGTGGTGAGGATTTTCTCCCAGCTGTATCACGAGCATTCACGTTGTGTGGGGTGACAAGTTTCTTCACTTTCAGAAGATCACCGTTTCGGCAGGCTTCAAATAGTTCTCGTAATGGGTCATTATGGGCCTCAGAGGAACAAACGGTTGGATTTGGAGTTAATCCTCCCCCTCCGACGCCTTGCATAACGGGACCCCGTTGCGTCGCCATCTTGACTCGGACCCTGGTTCCAACCAGTGCTGCTCCATAACCATGGAATAACTGAAGCAGAACTCTTTTCTTAACGACAAACGAAGCCCATTCTCCATCGAAATTGTCTAATATTCTTCAGAACATGTTACATGGCACTGTTCATAGCAGGAAATGTTTCATTCGGACGGTGACGGATATCAATTTTTGCGCCACATAGTTTCCGTCTGCCCCTGCACGTCAATGGAGCACTTGTGGTGTGGAGGAGATTATGGAAAGTATCTACTTGAGCATTTACGATCCATTATTTTGGCCTCGCGTTCTAAAATCCGTGCAAAATCTGACACTACAAATCATTTTAACATCAGAATCTTCCATCTACTGCGAAGCGTAAGGAGGAAAGGCAGGGCATGAGCTGAACATCAGCGATTCTGTCCTGGCATGGGCTGGGCTTCTCGTCGTTGGCATGCGGATCCTGTTTCTCCCATAATGTCTTCCCCACGAGTCTATTGTTTATGTTGGACGATGGACCCAGAATTGGGATTCTTCGTGGGCGAAGAATCGTGACAGGCATGCCTGCTTTCTAATTGGAACCTTAATTGGTGCTCTGCGAGTGTACGAGTGTTTGCGAAAGAGGTGACATATTAGGGTAATATGGAGGATATTTTATTTTCGCCAAGTTTCCTTCACGTGTCACAGGTTCGGGTGTGTGCGGTTACTGTTTCTCTTCGGAGGCTGGCAACTTATTATTCTTATATGAGACCGATCCCTGTGCAATAAGGTTAGGGGATGTCAGTGGTAGCGGGCGATTCGGACCCAGGCGGTCTCGATCTATCTTTTCCACGGCCTTAGTGTTTAACAACAAGGAAGGATACCTCACGAAGGGAAGGCTTGTCTTGGAAGGCGCGTTAGTCTTCTGGAGGTACGCCCTGTCTGGGATCCTCCGACACAACTGTCCTTGTCGCTGTCTGGCGTGGAATCCCGACGCAACTGGTCCTTGTGGCTGTCTGGCGTGGAATCCCCCTTTCAGTGCGGCTTCGGACCCCTTTTAAAGTTGGTCCATGCCCTCGGGCATATTTCAAGCCCATCACACACGTATAAATAGTGATTTTCCCAAGGTCCAGGGCCTGATAAATGTGATGACCAAGGCTGCTAAATAAATAATAATAATAATAAAATATATAAGTTTTTTTTTTTAAACTATGCTCAACAGTTGTAGTTAGGGTTGGCTGAGATAATATATAGGAAAACAACCACGACAGAAGACGTGACAGCGAAAGAAATTAAAAAACGTTACGTATTTGCATAAAGTAGCAGATGTTTCAACTCAAAATTTGCACCAACAGCGCTCGACTGTGCGGCTTCTTTAGGCAACTTGCACCACTACGTAAAATGTCTGGGGGAAGGTGCAAGAATCCAATTGCCCCGGGCCTCGTAACTTCTTATTCCGGTCCTGTGTCCAACCGACGTCCAGATCCTTACGTTGAGTTCTGGCCTCTTTATTGATCTGATATCAGCTACAGTACAATAGGATGCTTCCGTACTCCTATGATATATCCGAATTCAATTTATTCGTCCAGGACTTCAGCTATCTAACTGAAGTGATTCCGTAAAAGACAACCTCTTGAGCCGAACCAGATATTTCGTTCCCGTCCAACGGCGTCCTCCAGTGGCCAGCGAATTCCCACTGAGACAAGCATTGTGTTATTTTCTGCATCGTATTTCGTGCCGTTTTCCTCTCCACATAGACCTACCATGATGAATTTATACAGAACTGCGCGGAAAGCCAATGGCGGCTTCTTCCAACGCGAGATCGAAATTCTCCTCTTTTCTCTAGGCAAAAGGCAACTTATACGAAGTGATCACCCTTATAGGAGGAGATATTCAACATTGTTGTACTGGAGGGAAATGGGGTTCCTTAGAATTCCTGAAGTTGTGACGCTGACTGGCGTCCGGCTCCCCTCCAAAACGGGACCAGTGATGTCTGCAGTCATTGCAGGTATGAACTTGCACCGGAACCCGATCCCCTTCGATCAATAAGTTCTCAAGATTAGTGAGTTCAGGTGTTGACCTTCATCTGTCACCCTACGGCTCGTCAGCAATCCGAAGTTCGTCTCAATAAGAATTTGTGACATTGTCGAAAGAAACTAGAAGTTTAGACAATTGAATCTCCCATGGCACACCTTTCAATTTCCGTTTAACAGGGAACTTAGGCAAAGCTTGATTTACGGGGCGTTGTAGAAGCAACCAGATTCATTCTATACATGTGAGAGTTCGTAACCATTTGAATCCCATTTTTGCACCGATTTACGGCCATGGAATATTTAAACACACACACACACGACCATATGAAAGGTTTCTGGTAAATGCAAAAAAAAGCGCAGGAAGCGTCTTTGTGTCCTAAATCAAGGAGTTCCAGGAGCAAAAAGACATGAATCCTGGGTCAGTACCACTTCATTACCTCTCTCGCACCTCACCATTTATCTTGAATTACGGCTCACTTCTACTACGAGAAACAAGGGAAAAGGAAAATACGAAAAAAGTTGTCACCAGATAATTTCATTCTCTTGTTTTGCATTGCAATCCTTAAAATTTTTCGTGATTAATACTGACATCATCTTGAAACCACGATAACGATGCATTAGTTGCAATAACAACAGCACAGGCAGTACAACGACGCACAAAACTATAAAACGTGCGACAGATGGTCGAAGAGTAGTGAACGAAACGAAGCCAAACCTGCGCGGCCAGGTCCAAAAAGTGTGGGAAAAGTGAAGAGTACTGAAAGAGAAAAAGAATCACGGGCGTGGAGGAACGTAGCTTCCTGCACTGTTTCGGGAATTTTTGATCATGTCGATGGTAGAGAGGTTGCCCCTGCAAAGATTCTTGGGGCAGTATTTCAGCGTGTGAGCGTAATCCCCAGTTGCCCCGCATGCTGGGCACTTGTAGTCCCGCAGGATGGGACAATTCACCTTCCCACTCATGTCCTGCACATAAAAGGAGAGAGGGAAAGTTTAATTTCGGGTTCTCAAAGTCCAAACCCATATAAATACAGCCCCTTCGCACTGCAAGCACATAATAGGAGACAGATGGAGTTTTTCGAGAATTGAGGAGATTGTGCAACCATACAAAAGACATTCTGTTGAAGAAAAAAAAAGGCTTTTTCTCAATAGAAACCAAACTAGCACAACAGTTCTCAAACTTCTTATGTTTGCGCCACCCATTCCTTCCGAGAGAAGTACCTGGAAATGGAACCTACCCCAACGACGCTTTCTTCACACGATGGTTAAAGAACTTATCAAGATAAACGGATTGCAACAGTTCAAAGACCGGATCTCACCTCATATTTAATAAGAACGATGTTCACATACTTCTGGGCCCACAAATAATCAAACCTGGGATGAACAGTAGCAATAACGGCGCAAAGCTCTTTTTCAATGTCCAAACGAAACTATTTTCGCAATGGTAAGATGAGACATTTGGAGAATGGCAGAGATCTGTTCATAACTCCTGTCAGCAGGGGAATGGAATGGACGGATGAGTAAGAGATCCTCATTATGTTGTCTTCGTACATATTGCTCTGCCTGGCGAACCTAGCTCTTCCGCGACTTCAAGTCTCTGTAAAAATTTAAAGAAAACCAGAGCAACAACACTACAATGGGCATTCAATTTACAGCCCAAAGAGACGCATGATCCATCTGTCTTCATTTGGATCCTAGGATGTCGCTGATGGAAAAAGAGCACCCGTAAAAATTTAAAAGCCTCCCTTACAAAACGTCCACCTCCCATGTGAATTAGGAACCATGTGGATGTCGCCCTATGCGGTAAATTCCACCAGTTGGAGTAATGTCCACCCGAGGGAATATCAACCTGGTTCGAAATACATATGCGCATATGGGTACATGTATTTCGGTTGTACTAGGTGTTTTTCCAACTTGAAATCCACCTAATGCGTCCACCTGGTTCCAATTCCACACCCTGTCCACCTGGTTGTTTGACCAGTTGGACAGAGGGTGGACGTTGTGCAAGAGCTGTGCTGGCGAATTGCTTTCAATTAGTCTTGTCCTAGAGAAAGAGCCAAAAAGAACTGTAAAAACATGTAAATTTTCCAGTAAAAAGAAACAAAATAATCATCAGCCAGTTTTTGAAACTGCACATTATAATGAATAATTAGAAAATAAATTAAAATAAAACCCCAATGACCTATCGCCCCCCCCTCCCCGTTTGAGAACCGCTGGTCTAGTTTCAAAACGAGGAAATCGTCTCCAGGGTGGCACTGCCTCACAGTTAAAATTCTCAGCCCTTTGGTCAAATTTTCTTCACATCTTTAATTTTCCTGCCACGTATGATAAGTGACCGTTTCGGGCTGTTAGTATGACCCTAGTGTCGCTATTACAATTAGATTGTTTGGCAAGATTTCTCCGTGAATATTCATCCCACATATTTGAAACTCCAATCGATTTCATGTTGTGCTAGTACGAGCTTGTGTATCAAACTTCACGAAGAGCGGTCAACTCCTTCTTGGTCGTGCTTTTTTAGGCGCCAAGTATAGTTTAGATGCAAAATCACCGAAGGCCTTAAAGCTCACCTTGAGGATATGAGACTGGTACCACACCTCCGTTTCTCCGTTGTTCTTGCAGAAACTGCAATGGCTGTAGAGATTGGAGGCGGCGGAACTCACGGGCATGGGCATTAGTGAATAATTATGATTGGGAATGGAAGTTGAGCTGAAAGGAGACGTGGATGTAGGCCTAGAAACGGACGTAGACGCGATGGGAGTGATTGGTGGAGTCCCAGGTGGTAAAGAACTCTCTTGCGAGACGGGACTCCCTCCATTCGTCACGATAGGAATCCGGTAAACAGCAAGGGAAGGACGCTGATTTCCTGATAACACAACTGCGCCCGACTTGGAAGCTTTTCTCGTCACTTCCGTCGTAATGGATTCGACGGGGGGAAGAGGACTGGTACTGGAACAACGGGATCGGGTTTTACCTGGG